GATCAGCGTCCAAATCGTGGTATCATATCCAACTATTAAATTTATTTAATAGTCTCACATGAACTCAAATTACTAAACTACTAAAAAGCTTTTAATTCTACAAAGTAGATAGGTACTGAAGAACCTCTCGTTCAATTAGAGGGGAAAAAAAATTTTGTCGTTATATGCCATAAAGTTTGCTGATCTGCATTATTCTCCTTCTTTGGTTAAGTCTCCCTACCACATTCTTATAGCTAGAAAAATTTGAAAAACTGGTTCAATATTTTCTGGGCAATGTAGATTTCAAATATCAGACTTCCAATATCCATAATATGATTTCAAAAGAAAGTTTAGAAAATTTGTTCCATATATTATTTACTATAACACCATCGCAAGATGAGAAGGAAGGACCAATTATTAGTTCAATGCAACGACTTGCTCATTCTGCAACAGAAACCGAAAGAGTCGAATTTTGCTATATTCCGATCTTGCAAAATTGTCACTGTTTCGAGTGACAGTGACAATTTTTTTAGATCGTATTTCGATGAAAGAAAGTATGCGAAATATATGAAAATGGAAGAATAATCATGTTTTGCTCACAGTCAATTCTTTTCTTCTTTAAATTAAAGGATGCGTCAATTCCAAATTGGAAAAAAAACCTAATACAATCACTTTTTTTATTAGTTAAGAATCCAAGGTTATCAGTGTTTCCACTTCTTTCTCATTTTAATCTAGTAAAACCTCTTCAAAAAAATAGGAATTTCCTTTGATAACCTTTCTGGCAAAAATGTCAAATTCATTTGGTCAATCTGTCAGTTATGACAGAAGCAACTGTTTATGACTTATACTTTCTAAATAGCTACAAATGATTTTAAGCAGAACATTTTAGTGTTTTCTCGACTCCAAAAAAATAAAAATTGCAGTTAGATTAAAAAAAACTCTACAAAATGATTCATGGCTGTAATTCAGTTTATTATTTTATCGACTATTTCATATCAGTCCTACTTTAATTGCAGTTAGCCATATTAAATAACAGCAAGAAGAACGAGACTAACTAAGCAGAACTGGATGAATATTCAGCAATGCTAATAAAGCAAGAATAATTCCAAGACTCCACTTTACCAATTCGTAAATCTTGAAAATTGCCTTTATGTCTTCAACCTTGTTCGCAGATAAAATGAAAGTTATTGGGAGATATGTTAATTAAGCACCCAGTGTTTAACTGTGTTCATTTTAAACTCGGTTATGCAACAATAGCACCAGCACTTATCTCAAATAGTCGAACGGTCAATAACATTTCGCGATTATTCAGAATTGATTTTGATTCTAGAAATAGTATATAAACAAGTAAAAAAAAAACTAATAATTGTGACGCGATTAAGTGAAATCCCACTCCAAATTGTGTTCAGCACATACGTAAAATCTTTTTCGATCGATTGCTCGAGTAATGCATTATGAAACTTACCTTTCACTAGCAACTTCATTTTCTTGATATTATATAACTTCCTCAGCAAATAAAATGTTATTNAACGCAAGCAAAACGATGGTTTGAATTTTCTTTATATTATATAATTTCCTCAGCAAATAAAATGTTATACTCCATTCAATTATCATAATGGAAAATGCAAACCATCGTTTTGCCTGCGTTGAATACTTTCCATTACGTGCATTATTTGACTTTGCTGAAGTGCACTGATACTGATAGGTTCATCCTACGAACTGCGCTATGTAACGGCAAACTTACATAGTAATCCACACATCCCGCACTGCTGTTCTCGTTATAGCCATTCTTTCTCTATAAATAACGACCTCCAACCTCAAATACCACACTGACTACAAACCCTTACTTACACATACTTTAGCCACAATAACTTTCATTTTAAATTGGAAATGTACAATCAAGGTGATATAACTTGATTCCGACCGCAATGTTGAAGTGATGTAAAATGACGTGGACTATATGTATTTATGGTCACATTTAAAGTGGCGTGGGGGTGGGACAGATATTCGGCGGCGTTACATTTCCGTGGTCGGTTCACCGCTTCATTCGGTCAACACTGGCAATATTTACATGCACTCTCAATCGTTTGTTTGTTAATGTATGAAATCGTAATGACAAATTGCTTCCGGAATTTGTAGTTATCATTTTAGCACCAAAAATTTAAAAGATAGCTTTGCTTTTTTTAAAGAGATATTAGATTTTATACGAACTGAACTGAGTTTTTAACAAATAAGGTATGGATTGGTGAATAGGAATTTAGGGGACATTAAGACTATTTATTTCGAATAATGCATTTTGTGGTGCTTAAGATGTTATCGATATGTTTATTGGTAAAATCAGTTGAATTTAATGGTCTAATCTTATGTGATAATAACAAGGCACCATTACATCCTACTAGTTGTGTTAGTTAGTAACTAAGAAAATGGTAATGTTACTATGTTTTTCTTCCAAAATCGATGTGCATTAAATTTGCTCAAGAGAGGTCTTTAGTTACCTTAACATTTTAAACTAAATTTGTCTAGCATTAACTATGAAAATTTTCAGCCATAGCAAGTCATGAGTGATCAAATACTAGTTGTTTTTCATATCCTTAGTAGAACAGTAAAACATGTCAACAATAGTACTATACTATAATTTGAACTGTTGGTAGTATCCGATGAACCATTACATCTGTTTCCATAACAAGTACACAACTGTACATCACCAAATACTGGATGAAGTTGTCTGCGGTCCAAATTGTACAAATGAGCACGAGGCAAACTTCGACATTGGTTCACCTAAAAAGCAGTAATTTCTATGCTTTTTTTCAACAAAATCTGTTAATTTTTCATTACGATTTAAAGACTAAAATTACCGTTTGGAAGCGGTGTGTCCTTACCGCAGTTTCATTGAAACCATTCCTTAACACTCGATCCATGCAACCACGAATAAATTTAAAACCGATGAATACACCTGAAAAAAATATTGTTGCTTAGAAAACAATAGTGTTGAATGAACCAAAAATAAATTTTCATATTTGTTTTTTAGTCTCTGTCAGTATTATTTGACTTTTAGCTATATTTTTTGTGAAGAGAATGATAATCTTTTATCAGAAACTTTGATCATTTCTGATAATGGATTCAAAGAGGAATAAGTAATGAATAATATCGATTTCTACATTAAAACATTCCACATCTGTATTATACATTACTAGGTATGTTTGATAACTTAATACAGTACGTCATTTCATTTTGATCTGAAATGTTCAAGATATAATTTTGTCGAAATATTTCATTTAATTATCAGCTTGTTAAACTCACAATTTCTATGCCTGTATTAGCTTAAGCAGTAGCTTAATCTTAATAGAATCATAGATTTGTTACGATCAATTTCAATCAGTGATCAAGAAATAACTGCCAACAAACCAGCTTCAACATCGGGTTCAAGTAAATTAACGCACATTGTTGTACAAACTACAGTAGGAATGTGATTTGAAAGTTGTGGCTCGTTACATCGATTCGTAAAGATCTGAATATCGTAATTATATACACATTGCTTATTTTAAGTTAAAATCTCGAAGGAAGATTGATAAAACAATGACAATCTTAGAAATTTATCACATTTCAGTGTTCTTTAACTTTACATCATTTTCAATGCCCGATTTCTTCCGAAAATTTAAACAAAATTTACGATAAAGACATTTATGGCTAATGAATTTTAGAACTTCAGTTTTTTCTCAATTTCTACTATCTAGAAGTGTACAGTCCTCCTTTCTCTCTCTCTCTCTCTCTTCCCCCTCTATGATGGAAGATCATTCTTATGTTTCTTCTCCTACATTTTTTATTGTACGGATCAAGGAAATTTTGATAAATAAATGTAAACTTTTGTTGTAAAACTGATAATTACACAAAGATGTGTAACAAAGGTATCTAATGATACATTTATTTTAATTTAGAACTCAGTTTTGGAAACATTCATCTTTTTAGGTTCAAGAACAAGAATATCTTTTGAAAATTTCAATCTGGCGTATTAAAACTTCTCAAGAATTTAAAAGGACAATGTAATAGGAAACCTTAGGTGCGGTGTAAATGAATTGTAGATGTTGCCAGCGTTCTTGATAACTCAGTGACATACAGGAAAAGCATTCGAACCGACGAGGTATGGTATCTGAAAATAAATTATATATATCGATGAAATTTTTCGCGATTATGATAATAATCAAAATCACTAACATCATCATTGATATTATCATGAAATGCAACCAATTAATTATCCTAAACTTCTGATTGAATTAAATGAATTTAAAATTTTACGCTAGCCATATTGAAAGTTGCAAACTGCACTCAAATAATATCGCAAGTGAGATTTTCATATTTTTTGCATTTTTTAATATCAGTAGCATTGCAATGATAATCTCATCATTTAATTAATATTTTGACATATCCTGTCTTTTCTTACTAAGCAACTCCTTAAATGTATATTTTCCATTGAAATTAGATTCTGATTGCAAAGTGATAACACTCACATAAGTTGTGCTTAAGTTGTTCAGATTTTACATAAATCAGAAAATAAATTTTAAATGGTTTAATGAATTTGCAAGCAGACTAATAAAGCATATAAAAGCATAAATGTTATAACTGAAATGAAAGAAATGAAAGTACCAATTTCTGTCAGTTCGGCATATTCTTCAGCTGCGCATAAATGTGGAATATCGATAAAAATGACCACTATAAATATCATCAAACTACCTAACTTTTCATTCTGACATTGTCGTTCACTCACCCCATCAATGATTGCTTCTCAGTTTATTTTTCGAGTTTCAGAACAGTTTCCTTCATATTCACAAACACTGACCAAAAATAATATGTGATGAGCTCACAGGTCAGAAATAGAAAAACTGTAATTTCAACTTTTTTACAAAAAATGATGACAGAAATAAGCTGGCAAATTAGCAAAAATTTCACGAATTAAATATAATGCAAATAATAAAAGAAACGTGATTTAAACCTCTTTGCTATGGCTCATTAATGCTATAAAACAAACATATAAACATTTGAAATACTTGAGAATGCTCTTTAATGCATAAAGTAAAACTTGATAGAAATATGATTTGCTTTTAAAAGATTACAAATGATTAAAAAGCATAGCTCATTAAGAAATAATAAATAATTAAGTTAAAATATTGGGATGTAATGGATGAATAATTTTTGCTGTACTTTTAACAAATGGGAAAAATGACGTGAACTGAAATTGAGAGAACATTAGGATTAATATCGAAATTTATTCCTTAAACGTCATTATCTTCGATACTCAATGAACATTTATGGAAATGCTGCCGCACTCGATTTGAAGGTTATAGTAATAAATTGTAAATAGTGAGAGTGTCCCTTCTGTCCTTAATTTGTTAACTTAGACATTTACACATTAAAAAATCCAGCAATAATGGACTCGATTATGTATTCTTGTCCTAATAGATATTTTTCGCGTTTACTTTTATTTCTTTATTTGCTATATATAATTTAAAAATATGAAATAGATTATTTTCTTAATATCATTACTAAACGAAGATTTTTCATTTTATAAAATTAACAATTGTTTCTCTGAAAACAATGTAGGCAATAGTCTGGATTTCTTAGTTAGTGCAAAGTTGAACAGATGTCTAATACTGAGGAAAAGAGAGAGGAGCTGAGAGAAAAATCAAAAACTTTTTCAAAGAATTGGAGAAAACATAGCTATCGTAGTTTTCCACATGGGTCAAAAGCTAAATTAGTTGGCTTAAAAGTTATAGTTTGTTCAGATATAAATTAAAAGCCTTCATGAATAAAAAACTGACGGAATTTAAAAAAGGTGCTTTTACAACAAATTATTAATCAGTAATGTATAATTTTTTGAATTATTTTTAGATCAGAAATACTTTCGTATTGATAATTGAAATTTGTTATTGTACTTATACCGATAAAGTTACATTCATTTATTAGAGTTTTAAAAGTGTGAATGATTAAAATAAACGCATTGCATTATCTAAAAAATTAAATTTGAAATTCCAGTATTTTCGAGACACCTCTAAATCAACACTGTTTAAATGCAACAGGTAAAAATTCAAATTTTTCTAGATATCTCCGCGTCTGGAATTATTTGCGAACTTTCATTTTCTATTAAATTACTGAAAGATTGTAAAATAATAAAAGTGAAATGAATTTGTCTTTCGTCTTGCGAATATCTTAACTAAATAGAACTTCTCGATCTTATGGTTGTTGACCTCGTAAGGAAAAGTTCAATTGCTTGCAAAATTTGCTTCTCATCCAACTTCTTCTCTCTTTAGAATGTTAAACAAAAGATTAGCATTACTTTACATTTCTCTCAGAAATATTCAGTAAATAATCACATTAAGAAATTATGACAAATAGAAAGGGTTATGGAGTTTTGAAACAGTTTAAATTTACCAAATAGGTCGGAAAGAAGCCATTGCTTTTCAACTTCTTCTCGTAAGAATAGAAGGTTTCACTAAGAAATTGAGTTGCTTGGAAACTTGATATCCTTTACCAAAGGTTGTCAAATAAGTAAAGATGTCCAAAATTCCTTCTTATATAACGAATTGTTATGATTGAAAGGGAATAGAACGAGGATGTTTGCTAAAGATTTCGATCAAATATTAACAAAGTTTCATTTTTTTATAAAATTTTAAAACTAGATGATTTTAATGGATGTGTTAATAATTTTTAGTCCATATCATCTGTGTTGACTTGCAATTGTTAGCCTTAGACTAACTGATCGGTTAATAATCCGGATTGATAAGATTGGTTGATAATTTTGAGAATGTTAAACGAATTATTTATGTATCATTCATGTTGCAACTGGGGAAAGATCATAACAAATTCTACTCGATTAGTTTTATTAATGTTTGTTTGGAGTTATTGTTAATGTTTTTCAGAACAGAGTTGTTAATTCTGTAATAGAGAATTCGATGACAATCTTCTGATGATTGGTAATTCTAAATGTCAACAGAGTATGAAGAGGTGAGCAGGAAATAAAAAAGTAACAGCTCTAAACGTGCTGTAATTCTTTTTTCAAAGTTCTTTTTAAAAGCAAAAGATTCAAGAAAGCTCGGTTAAACTTTATCAAATATGACAGATAATTGATATATGCAGACAGAAGACTAACAGTTATGATCATTTCTATTTTTCCTCTATTCCCACTTTCTTTTTTTTATTTCAAAGAAAATAATTTTGAAAAAATCGGAAATGACACATATGGTAGCAAAAAAAGTGAAAAACTGAAAGTGATCTGAATTCAATCTAACAAATGTGAAAGCTCAGAATTTGCAAGCATAAATAATTAAGATGAAAGCCGTTATTTGAAAATAGCTCAACTATTTTTCTAATAGCAGTATCAGTTTTCTAATCTTATCCAAAAAAAAAAAAATTCTAAAGCAGATAGCTTATAGTTCAAGATATTTAGAAGCATAACTATTCTTTCCGATAAAAACATATGCTTTTTCATTTCATCAACTTTCCATGTTTTCATCTTCACGCAATTCTCTGAGAATTGATTGCATATGAAATGCTCAGAAATTTTCATTTCAAGCCAAACAGAAATTTATGCATTTCGGCCGTATACAGCAGTGGCACAATTTCATCCTACGCATATTCATAATTTAGAAAACTGAAATGTGCATATAATGAAATCAAATAGGGCTAAAGAAATTATTGAAAATTCAAGCAATGCCTAACATTTTTTTGCTATTTCTGACAGACATTAGAATTTAATAAATTTATTACATTTGTCAGTGCTTGGCTCGGAACAGCCGTATAAACGGCGGAAAAAACACCTCCATTGAAAGAAGCAGGTGAAAAACTTTTCGTCAATAATTGATGAAGAGTTAGTTATCAGCAATCTGTTCGGAATTGTTTTTCAGACAACCTGTCTTTTTGTCACTTACCATATCATACTTTAAAAAACCAATAAAAAATGATTCAAGTGATTGAAATCAATTTTACACCAAAAAATTCTGATACACAAAATTATGACATATCCATTTCCATTAAAATCATCTAGTTTTAAAATTTGACACATCCATTAAAATTAAAATTTCATTTAAAAAATGAAACTTTGCTAATATTTGATCGAAATCTTTAGCAAACATCCTCGTTTTATTCCCT